GACGGTTTGCCCCCTCTACTTACCCAATTACCAAAATGATCAGCTGACGAGTTTATACCTTGAATAAAGTCATCGCTACCTTAGTTAGATCCCAACCCATTTAAAACTTTGGAAGGGACCACGGTCAGCAACGGGAAGATTCAGCAGCTCACACCTCTTCACAAAAACCCCCTTAATACTGCAGTCGTAATCGGTCGAATTAGCGGTTTTTCTCGTGGCGTGGTACTCTCGTAGTTGAAAATGCCATCGAACAGCGAACAATTCAGTTCTTCGTAGCCAGTGATTGAGGCGTTATTGATAACAGGTTCTAAAGGTTCCACGGGGTGCTTTAACAACCCCCTATCGGACATCGATAAGAGATGGTTTTAGCAAAGAATGGCATTGTTCAGGCTTGATGTCGCCTATTCTGGGTGTGACAGGGCTAAATTTAGCCACAGCACGTGCAAAAGGCACCTGGAAGATGTAACTCGGTCGGTTCTTCAGGGGCCATTTGGAATGGATGAATGGTGACTGAAAAGAGATTTACTCAGCCCTACGATCCGGTGGGGCCCTTGTTCCGGTACTCTGATCCTACGGACTCAGGAATTTGAGACCAACGCCGAAACTGTCTCAATCCAAAGGACTTCCGCGGTCATGCGAAGCGGGGTGAAGTTGATTCGTGAGGACGTTTGACCGTCATGACGCAGCGGCGGTGGTCGACTCGTTTCAGTGCCAATTTCCCAGCACCATTTCACGCTTCACAACGATCTCGGCCCAGTGCCGAATTCAAATGACGCATGCGATCATCACCTGAGCGAGAAAAAACCCACGAATTTCTGGCACCAATACGGCGCCACGACTGACGATTTCACTCGGTCGTGGGAATCGTCACAATCACAGCGGCCACCTGAGGTTTTGGCGATTCCCTTTCGGAATGTCCCTTACCCAGACTGGTATTCAATATCGGGCATATGGAGAAGGTTGGTGAGAGGCGCCAGCACTTCGCGCATAAACATGTGGTGGGGTGAAATGGCGCGAAAGCGAAAGCAAGAAAAGAAAAATGGCATTCTGCCGACTAGACTCCGTCCACTGACTACGACCATCCTCTACCCCCCACTGAGAACAACTCTTCATTCCTAATCGGCTAGCCCAAGAAGGATCGTTTATGGTAGGTGCGCCTCCCACTGGACGCGAAGGATCGAACATCGATCGCCGTGTTTGCTGGTGGCTCGGTTACCACTCCATGTCTAACTCAAGGTCCTGCAATTCACCCCAATTCGGACGGATGCGGATGGTTAGAATCCCTGGACTTCCCTGGGCCTCCTGGCGGTGGTAGGTCCAGCAGCGGCCGTGTTAATCCAGCTTTTCCCTTTCGCTCGGAATCGGGGTGTATAACAGAAGACCCTCCCGGTAGACCGGTGCTCGTAGCCGCCACTGACGGGTAACTTCCTCTGTGTCGACAGCACAGCGGGGTGCGGAGGTCTGCTAACAAAAGCCATGATCGCCTTCCGTTCCTGTCTGAGCTCATCTGGTAGCGGGATCGGAATTTGGAAAACGGAACGAAAGATGGAGTGGGTGGTATCCCTGTCTCCTCCTCAGGTAAAGTCACCTGAAATTGAGACACCAGCTCATTTGCTCGAAGCAAGCTCAGGACTTAGCTTAGGTCGAATTAGGCTGAGGCGTTAGAGCCAGCTGTGTAAGAGGCCGAAGCCTCGGAGCCTCAAACCCAACCTTTAACCTGTACCGGTTTCTCATAGGATCGGCGCACAGCTACTTTTTCGGTGACCCTGACCCAGCGGGTGATACGCTGAATATACCGTCTTTCCTCGGGTTTCCCTGCCCCGCGAAGACAAACGCGCCTGATGTTGTTTACACGATGTCCGAGATCTCATGGGGAGGCAGTAATGGATGCCCTAATCCAGGTTCTTAGAATTCGGGCGCGGAACCGAAAAACGAGATTGAAGAGCGGAGTGGGCGGTTTCTCCCGTCCCATCGGTGACAGCGCTCGCTCCATTCCAGGATGTCCGAGGTTTCATGGGGATATGGAACTGAGTCAGCTTTCTACCGTATCCTATCCTATATTACATTAAACAGATTCAAATTCCAAAACACAATCGCCAAGCGAGTGGACCATCCACGTGTCAACAAACAAAACCCGGGAGCCTACGTCGATTCATGAAGTCCATTTCTCGAATGAATGACCGGAAAGTACTTTAGCAATTCCGCGTGTTGACAGTCACTGTGCTTTGGCGAAGCGTTCCGTTGTCCCTAAATAGCCGTCCTGTGATTACAGCCAAGCCGTATGTGATAACGCCTAGCACTTCCTTAGTCACCGATGGAAGGAACACCGCTGGCCGTCTTCCAGCTGATAACGCACTCCCCAACAGCCCAGCCAGACAGGCCAACACGACAATCATCGCCGGCGACGGCGGGGATGAGTTGCGGGGTCAGCGTGACTCCCGTCACCACTTTGAGGCTCCGTAACTCGCGCTATTCATTGTGTGACTGGCTCGCGCTATTCACAGTGACTGACAGACTCGCTAATAACTTGGCGATATGGGAAAATCCCATTGAAACCGTTAACAAGATGCAGCACTCTTGGGAATTGCAATCGGAGCCGAGCATCGGAACAATGGGAAGACCTCGTGCGCGTTCAAGAGTCACAGAGGTCAGGATCTGGCCATTATCTCACAATTGCGAGGTGTGAAGTCACTCAATCGGTCATTATGGGGTTGGTCACACAGCTGTTGAAGGTTACTTGGGGGAGACGATCAGTGGCCGGCCAGTTGCAGTCCATTCATCATCGCTATATAAGAGGCAGACGAGAAGAACAGCTGTGCGAGTTTATTACGCACTCAAGAGGTCACCGAATTCTTTCACAGGAAATCCACTTGGGACCTCGGCTGCCATATTGCCATTGACCTTGCCGAGTGTATTTACTGTAGTACTTTTTGTTCCACACGGGGACCACGCAAAAAGATCAGCAAACAATCGAGGCTGGACGCAATAAAAGGCTATTGACTCGCATATAAGGTCACCTCTTCCCCTTCATCGGGCGAAGTCTTGACAACTGATCGGATCGGTGAAGGTTTACGAGAGTCGTTTCGAGGTCCGGGACGGTTCGATTTCGATGTGACAGATGGTGGATGGTGTCCGAGGGGCAATTTGCACCCATCCACACGCAAATCGTGGCTAGCAAATGGCGCCAGACCCTCGAGAGGTGGTTACCTAATTTGGTCGTCAATCCCCGCTGTCGGACCAAAGCTGTTCGTTACGAACTGGGCTGCGCTGTCAGAATCCCTAAGGAGGGGGTGGGTTCATGAACTGCTGAAGGTTCCCGAAGACCTTCGACACATGCTCTCAAAACAGTGAAGGGAACTCCTACCCCACCTTAAGAGACGCTGGGAGATGTTGAAATTTCGAAGTTCTATGAGATTGCCGGACGTTCCAGGACACGCCACAAAATCTGTACTAAAGGAGGGATAGGAACTCAGTGGAGCGAAATTTGCTCGCCAAACCCCGAGTTCTTCAAGGGGTAGAACTTACAGCGCCCGGCGACCATCTTCATCCACTTCAGTCAATCAGTCCATTTTAGCCCCTCTACGGTAGCTCAGATGGATGGCCCAACTTTCAGCCCTCTGTTGTGGATAGGCCGACATGGTGAAATCCAATTCGAAGGCAGATGGAACAGA